GCCACAACGCCCGGCCATTTTTTTTGTTGTTGTTGCAGCCATCATTGTTGTTTGGCAGGCCCGGGCTGGGGATTCGAACCCGCCACCTGAGGTGTATGTGGCTGGCGCCTTAGCCGCTTGAGCCACAGGCGCCGAGCCTGGACAATTTTTTAAAACACAGATTTCTGGGTCCATACTTAAAGTTTCTCATTTATTAGGCTCGGGGTGGGGCCTGGGGATTTGCATTTCTTTCTTTTTTTTTTTTTAGAGACAGAGTCTCACTTTGTTGCACTAGGTAGAGTGCTGTGGTGTCACAGCTCACAGCAACCTCCAGCTATTGGGCTTAGGCGATCTTCTTGCCTTAGCCTCCCAAGTAGCTGGGACTACAGGCACCCACCACAATGCCCAGCAATTTTTTTGTTGTTGTTGCAGTTTGGCCAGGGCTGGGTTTAAACTCGCCACCCTCGGTATATGGGGCTGCCCAGGATTTGCATTTCTAACAAGTTCCCATATGATGTTAATGCTGCTGTCCAGGACCCCACTTTGAGAACCACTGCTGTATAGCATTTGCAAAAGTTCATTAAGAGTACTACTGACTACCTTAACAATCCAGAAGAATTTTCTTTTTTTTTTTTGAGACAGAGTCTCCTATGTTGCCCTTGGTATAGTGCTGTGGCATCACAACTCGCAGCAACTTCCAACTCTCAGGCTATTCTCTTGTTTCAGCCTCCCAAGTAGTCCCACAATGGCTGGCTATTTTTGTTGTTGTTGTTGTAGTTGTCATTGTTGTTTAACAGGCCTAGGCTGAGTTCGAACCCGTCAGCCTCGGTGCACGTGGCTGGCTCCCTAAGCACTGAGCTAAGGGCACCAAGATTCCAGGAGAATTTTTGATTAAGAGTTACTTCTGGCTTGGCACCTGCGGCTCAAGTGGCTAAGGCACCAGTCACGTACACCCAAGGTGGCGGGTTGGAATCCAGCCCGGGCCCGCCAAACAACAATGATGGTTGCAACCAAAAAATGGCTGGGCGTCGTGGCAGGCGCCTGTGGTCCCAGCTACTTGGGA